CTACCTAACCTGTCTATGGAGTGTGGGAGGAAACCAGAGTATCTGGAGGAAACCCACACAGTCACAGGGAGAACATGCAAACTCCCGGCAGGTGGTGCTGGGGTTGGGATTCAAACCAGCAACCCTGGAACTGCCAGGTGGAAGTGCTAACCATTTAGCCACTGTGCTGCCCGTAAGTACCACTTACTTTGCCAGCTTTTTGCTGTCCTAACTTTTCTGAGACATGTTGCTGTCGTCAGTTTAAAAAACCCTATTTTTTTCTTAAAATGATACATATTCTCACTTTAAATATTCAATGTTTTCTATTGTAAATAAAATATGGGTTTATGAGAGCTGCAAATGATTTAATTCTGTCATTATGTCGATTTTACACCACAGCCCAACTTTCTTTGGAATTGGGGTTGTAAATGAGAGCGCTGCCATTAACGCACATTAACGTTCGTGCAACAGTGTAAATGGTCCCTTAGAAATTATGTGCTAAAGTTTTAATAATTATATACGTTATGATCATTATTTTTTTTTTCCTTCATTATATAGCTCACTTTAGTTTTAAAAATGATATTTCTCTCACAATTATTAACATAGTCTATTTTTTTTCCCTTCGTTTTACAGCGCACCTCAGCCTCACAATGGTTGCTGCGAGTCCTGTATCTTATTTTGGGATCGTTGGTCTCCTTTTTGCCAACCAAGTCTCCTCTTCCTGTGTCACAGAGGATAATCATAGCAAGGGCATGAAAGAGACGTCTTGTGTTCGACTTGCCTTAACCAGCGTCCCCATGAAGGAGATACCCCAAGATACAGGCATTCTTATCCTGAGTTTCAATAACCTGAAGGCCATCTCTACCTCGACCTTCAAGGGGATGAAACAGCTGGTGGAGCTGGATTTATCAGACAATGCTTTGACTAGCTTTAAGGTGGATCTTCCGGTTATGTTATGGGAATTAAATCTGGCCAATAACTCATTCAAGAGTATCCCAGATCTGTCCCAACTGTCCAGGTTAAACCAGGCTGGTCCTGTCCAACAATCACATTTCCACCATCCCTGACTCGACGTTTAAAGGGCTGAATAGCCTGAAGGTGTTGGAGCTCCAGAAAAACACCATCCATCAACTCACTTTCAGAAGAGGTGCTAACATGTATTATATTTATTTTATTTATATTTTATATATATTTTTATATTTATATACATGTATTATATTTATTTAACATGTATTATATTTATTTTATTTATATTTTATATATATTTTTTATATATTATATACATGTATTATATTTATTTAACATGTATTATAATTTTCTGACCCTTTCCTTTTTTTCTTTTTGCTTCATGATGTCGTATGTGGCAAATTAAAGTGAACCTGTCATTAATCAAACCTTGAAAGTGTTCTGATTTGAAGTGTTTAGTTTTCAGCTGAATGTGTTTTGCAGGGACCAGGGTGGGGAAATGCCCAGGAGAGAACAGAAAGTGAACTTGTACTTTTAAGTAATGTAATAGGTTCACCTAAAGCAGAACTCCAACTTCAACTTTGATGGAGGTTTAATCTCATAATTTCCAATAGATAATATACATTTAGGTGGGATTAACCTAGCCCTACTTTTCTAGAGTGGACTGTTCAGTACTGCTGTTTGGCTGTAAGCAGCCTAATCTGTAATAAATGTGGTCATCCAAACTGTGCCAAATTGGATCAATACAGGCATTTAGCTAAGGTCAGGATCCCCCATACCATGTGAGGGCCAGTAGAAGGGGATTCAGTAAAACTGAATCTATGTGCCATTGCAGGCTTGCATTACTAAATCTTCCATGCCAACCATTACACATCTGAACAGTTGTCTGCCATCCCAACCCAGATAAAGACCAATTATTTGCAGAGAAGGTCTAAAATTAATAAAAGTCCAGTAATTGACCCATGTGTCATCTCCTTCCACTTTCAGTTCAAAAACTAGCATCCACTAAGATATCATAAAATTAATTGGCAAACAAAAATAATTGATTTGCAGATTCAGTCCATGTTTGTGTAGTGATCAAATAAGGAAATGTTTAAATATTCATTTTAAAATTTTCTTTAAAAAAAAAAAGTTCTCAAAAACGATTGTTTGTATTTATTTAAACAGGTTTTTAAAGACTTGAAAAGCCTAGACCATCTGGACTTATCGTACAATCAGCTGTGGGAACTTCCAACCCATCTCATCATCAACCTTGTCCATCTTGAAAACTTTTACTTGACGGAGAACAAACTGACAAACATTCCAGACAATTTCTTTGATGGCCTGAATGCTCTTGCTTATGTCTATCTTGACAAGAACCCGTGGAACTGCAACTGTGCCCTGCACTATTTTAAGGAATGGGTGGAAGAAAATGGGCATAATATCTATTATCTGTCTGATGGAACTCCAGTTAATGAGGAGAAAAGTGTCCTCTGCTCTGACGGAACCCCACTTATTGAATATAGTATGGATGCTTGTAATGGCAAGGACCTTGGTGATGTGGACCAACATATAATGACACCAGAAAAAAATACGCCAGTAAGTAAAGTCACACAAGTGCAGCCAACCACTGCCAAGACCACAAAACCATGGATAAGGACAATGAAGACTACGACAGCATTGTTAGCAAATACAACACCTGTGCTGACCACTGAAGGTCATCCAACATCAGTTGCTTCAACTACCAAAAGCAGAAGACTGACGACACCAATTGTCACTTCAACAAAACAGCCAGAGGCAACTCCAACAGCTATGCCGTGGACAGCAAGAAACATGACCACAAAAACATTTAAGACTTCTATAATGACACCTACTGAACAAAGGAAAACAGTTCCACAAACCACAGAAGTGCCAACATCTGATATTTCTTTAACAACCACTTTGCACCCAACTTCTGCTCTTCCCACAACAGTGAAGGTGGAACCCAGTACGTTGTTGCCCACCTCCGTTGTCTCAACACAAGAGCATCTTACAGAAACATTGCTAATGTCTATAGAGAATCAGTTATACACCATGCCACCAGCAGAAAATTCCAGAGCAGAAGCCTATGGCATGTCATGGCTGGAGTACAAGATTCGCAAAAACAGCTGGAGCACAAGTTTCTCAAAAACTTCTGCCTCCTCCACTTTATCATCTATATTCTGGGCATACTCTCCTAAAGTAAAAAAAATATCCAAAATATGCCCCCAAAAAGCTGTGTTCACAGGGAGGGAAAACACTCACACAGTAAGGCTGCAAGAAAGTTCTCTTGTCTATTCAATAACTTACAACAGCTTTAGTACAGCTAAGAGATAAGGATAGATCATGTTACAACCAGTTAAGACAATGCATCTCTATGGCTATATACAAAAAATGGTGTAGCGCTAAGAAAATCACACACGTTTATAAACGCATAGATCAACAGATAAATATAAATACACACGTGACCATTCACTCAAAAATAAACCCCAATGTAAAATCAGGTGCACTGCAGTGTAAAGACATTAAAGAAGTCAACCTGAGACAAGAAAACTTGATTCCACTTGATCCCCACATTGGGGTTTACGCCTTAAAGCGGAGCTCCATCCAAAAGGGAAGTCCTGCTTTAAGCACTGGTCCCCCATTCCTCGTGAAGAATTGGCACCTTTGGGATTGGGGGGGGGAAAGTGAGTACCCGATGATTTTGACAGGTACCCGCTCCCACATCCGCTCCGGAAGTGGAGTTCTCTTTCCCCCCTCCCGCAGGGACTGTAGCACCATTCACAATGCGCAATGGCCACCGGCTGTGAAGCGACAAGCTGTCGCAGACGGGTTCCCACCAGGGGCGGACTGTCAACTCATGGGGCCCCTGGGCAATATGGGATCATGGGGCCCGTTACTTTCCTTGCCCAAACTCAAAAAAGCCTATGAAAAAGGTACCAGGGGCATCTCATGGGGCTCCATCCCTTCGAAGTTTTATGAAACAGTTTCAAACAGTCTTTTCCATGGGAGGGCATTTCGTCAGCCAAATGGGCTTCTTTTCAGGAGGAACTGTAGTTTTACACATTCGGAGGCCCAGACACATAAGCAACCTCACTGCAAGGTAAATAAAAAGTGTAAGTGAAATAGCCACGAAGTCAGCATCCCTACTCTTTAAACCATGAAAATGTGCTAATTAAAGCGGAGCTCCACCCAAAAGGGGAAGTTCCGCTTTAAGCCTTTGTCCCCCGCTCCCCATTAAGGATTGGAACATTTGGGAAGCGGGTACCCAAATTTGACAGGTACCCACTCATACTTCCGCTGCGATCACCTAGGCAATTGGAAGTGGAAGTTGTCCTCCCTCCCTGTAGTCTTCTGGGACACGTGACAGGTCCCAGAAGACTACGGGGCCATTCACAAAGCACAGCGCTTCTCACACATGCGCAGTGGGCACCCGTCTGTGAAGTCGCAAGCTGTCATAGCCGGGTGCCCACACTGAAGATGCCAGCACCGGGGAGAGAAGATGGCCAGTGAAACCAATGGTGGTGAGGACACCGCTGGACCGAGGGACAGGTAAGTGGCTGTATTTTAAAAGTCAGCAGCTACAGTTTTTGTATCTGCTGACTTTTTTTTTTTCAGAATACCTGGAAACCGTGAAAATGTGGAACTTAAAAATTTGCCAAGACCTCCTAGATCTGTAAAAGGATTCCATCCAACATCAGCAATACTTCTATTCCTAGTTTGAAGGAAACCAAATACCTCTTTCCCATGTTGTTCAATTTGTTCATAAATAGAATTGGATTTACACTGGAAAGGAGCCTGATTGGTTCACAGCACTGACACATTTTGCAGATGGGGTACCGCTCAAAAAGGATGTGATATTTGCTGGTATTGCCACAAGGGGAATCCTGAATGTACTAGGGTGCAATTGGCTACAAATCCAGAATTGCCTATGGTCAGGCTTCTGGACATATCTGTGTTTGATCTGCAATAAAAACTGACTTTTAAAAAGCAGCCACTCACCTGTTCCAGGACCCAGCAGTGTGCTAACCTGCCATCGGTCCCCAGTATCCTAAGGGTGGGAACCAGGGGCGGACTGGCCATTTGGAAACTCGGGCATTGCCCGAGGGCCTGGGGTCAGTAGGGGGGACCCCATGAGATGCCCCTGGTACCTTTTTCATAGGCTTTTTTGAGTTTGGGCAAGGACACAGGGGCCCCATGATCCCATATTGCCCAGGGGCCCCATGAGTTGAGAGTCCGCCCCCTGGTGGGAACCCGTCTGCGACAGCTTGTCGCTTCACAGCCGGTGGCCATTGCGCATTGTGAATGGTGCTACAGTCCCTGCGGGAGGGGGGAAAGAGAACTCCACTTCCGGAGCGGATGTGGGAGCGGGTACCTGTCAAAATCATCGGGTACTCACTTTCCCCCCAATCCCCAAAGGTGCCAATTCTTCACGAGGAATGGGGGACCAGTGCTTAAAGCAGGACTTCCCTTTTGGATGGAGCTCCGCTTTAAGGCGTATCAAGTTTTCTTGTCTCAGGTTGACTTCTTTAATGTCTTTACACTGCAGTGCACCTGATTTTATATTTTAAAATTCTGCAATATACAGTACCTCTCATACACAGTGATAGTGTGTACCGGGGCGGACTGACCATTTGGAAACTCGGGCACTGCCCGAGGGCCTGGGGTCAGTAGGGGGCCCCATGAGATGCCCCTGGTACCTTTTTCATAGGCTTTTTTGAGTTTGGGCAAGGACACAGGGGCCCCATGATCCCCTATTGCCCGGGGGCCCCATGAGTTGTCAGTCCGCCCCTGGTGTGTACAACCAAACAGAATATAACAGAAACCATAAAAGACTCCCCATCCATTCCAAGTCCCATCCCTAAGATTTACAATCATTTTGCAAACCTTTCACAGAGGCTAGTATGGACCCAGGTGGACTTCCCTTAACCGCTTAAGGACCGCCGTATAGCAGATATACTGTTACAGGGTGGCACCTGTGCGCAAAATTACGTGTATATACTGTATACGTGATTTTGCATTGCCAGGTAGGGAGCGTGCACAAGTCACGCATGCGCCCTACCCGCCCCGCCATTCGCGGCCGCGGATGTCAATCACCGGGTCCCGGACGGTAATTTCCTGCCAGCGCCCGGTGATTACTGAGCATCTCCGACGGGGAGGAAGGTTGTTTTGTTTGCAAACAGTCTTCCTCCCTGTCAGCTCGGGCACACTGCTCAGGATGGCTGTGCACAGTACAGCCATCCCGATCAGTGTGCTTACAGTGAAGCACACACTCCCTGCCCCCTAGTAAAACACTCACAGCACACAGTTAACCCTTTGATCGCCCCTCACATTAACCCCTTCCTGCCCAGTGCCATTAGTAAAGTGTCAGTGCTTTTTATTTAGCACTGATCACTGTATTGGTGTCACTGGAGATATCAGTGACACCAAGTTAGTTCCCCCCCAGTTTCAGAATGTCCGCCGCGGTCCCGCTAAAAGTCGCTGATCACCGCCATTACTAATAGAAAAAAAAATCCCAGTATCTATACCGCCATTTGTAGACGCTATAACTTTCACGTAAACCAATTAATTTACACGTATTGGGATTTTTTTTAGCAAAGACATGGAGCAGAATACATTTTGGCCTAAATTTATGCTAAAATTTGATTTTTGAAATTTTTTGACTGGACATGTTTAATAGCAAAAAATATTTTTTTTTTCTCAAAATTGTGAGTCTTTTTTTGCTTATAGCGCAAAAAAATAAAGAATGCAGAAGTGATCAAATACCACCAAAAGAAAGCTTAACTCGTGGGAAAAAAAGGACGTAATTTTCATTTGGGTGCATGACCGCGCAATTGTCAGGTAAAGTAACGCAGTGCTGTATCGCAATTAATGGCCTGGTCATGAAGGGGGGGGGGAATCCTCAGGAGGGCAAGTGGTTAAAGTGGTTGTAAAGCCTATGCATGAAGGTAAAAAAACTTCAGTATGCAGCTCCCCCCGCAGCCCACCTTAATACGTACCCAAGCTCAATCCTGATCCAGCAATGTGCACGAGAGCGGCTGCTCTCCCGTCTCTCTCTGCTCCTCCTAGTTTCAGAGACAGCAGCAGGAGCTATTTGCTTCTGCTGCTGTCAATCACAGCCAGTGAGGAGGTGGGTGGGGCCAAGCCCCGTTCTGTATGTCTTATGGACACACAGAGGGAGCAAACACACACGAGTGCCCCCAGAGCAAGTGGCTTGCTATAGGGGCACTCAGCAGGGGGGAGGAGCCCAGAGCGCCGACAGGGTCCCAAGAGAGGAGGTCCGGGGCTGCTCTGCTGTTGCACAGAGCAGGTAAGTATAACATATTAAACAAAATTACCCTTTAAATATCACTTAATTAACTACTGCTACAGATTCTGGAAAACAATCAGGCCTCTGGGATGCAGGCTGTGAGTTCCTATTACAGAGGAAGGATTTGGGATGGAGGAGTAGATCAGCTTGTGCATGTCCTCCAATCTCCTGTGGAGGCTTTGAACATACAAATAAAGATTATTGTTCAGAATAGACATTTCTGAAAATACATCCTAACCTAAGTATTGTCTCAAAAAGTATCTCGTAGAGAGAAAGTCCTGTCTTTACCTTGACCTGACAAGCAGAAGAGGGAGGGAGAACCAGAGGATGATGGGACATGTAGTCCTCTGAGAAGTGCTGTCCATTGAAGGTAATGGGGCATGGACTTCAGCCCCCATCAAGCCTGGGTGACAGAGGAGGAGGAAAGAGAATGTTGCTGGGAAAAAGTCTACAGAGTGGGAGAGTATAATAGAGAAAGAGAGAGTAAAAAGACGGTGCTGCAGGGTGCCATTCCAAAGAGAGAAGGAGAGACTGCGACTGTGCCACTGGAAGCCAGACCAGACCAATGTGTGGAGAGCCGGAGCTACTTCCAGGATACAGCCCCTATCCACTGCCCTGGGCAACGCAGAGCGAGCAGATACCTACCCAGAGGGACCGCTACCACTGTATTGTCAGGTGTATTGTCTGGTGAGAGCACAATGTGGCCCAGGGGCGGACTGACCATTTGGAAACTCGGGCACTGCCCGAGGGCCCGGGTCCGTAGGGGGCCCCATGAGATGTCCCTGGTACCTTTTTCATAGGCTTTTTTGAGTTTGGGCAAGGATCCCCTATTGCCCGGGGGCCCCATGAGTTGTCAGTCCGCCCCTGATGTGGCCACTAAGTTCTACCACCGCTTGAGACTGAGATACTAGGAACTACCTAACCAGCTATCCTATAGCTCTAATACTGCCTGCAGGTCTTGTTGATTGCTTTAAAACACGCCAACGGTTACTGGGCCCCAACGTTTAGCCGGCTGAAAAGTCAGGACTAAAATCTGCCCCTAACCAGGGGTGGACTGACCATTCGAGCACTCGGGCACTGCCCGAGGGCCCAGGGTCAGTAGGGGGTCAGTAAAATGCCCCTGGTACCTTTTGGGTGTATTTTGAGTGTGGGCAAGGACACAGGGGCCCCATGATCCCGAATTGCCCGGGGGGTTCCTTGAGTTGTCAGTCCACCCCTGCCCCTAACAATTGCTGCCCTGAGGTCCTTGTCCCTTTGCTTAGTTAAAGAGGTGCCTCTTAGAAGATGCCAATCCCTCGGAGTGCACTCCAAACCGGTGTAGTGCTGTAATCAGTTGTACTGCATTTAACGTTTATCTGCATTGTTTATCGCTGATTTGCTAATTCACGTGTTGATTTCAGTTAGAGGTGTAGCACCTGATTTTAGCCACTTTGGCATAGTTATTACTCTGTCTAGCAGACTATGGCATCATTTTCATGCTGTGTGCTCATTTATGTTCAAACTGCCATTTTTTCTAACCCATATCAATAAACGAAATTCATTTTTATCACTACACGGGTGTTTGTCTGCTTACTGGTAGCAAAGCACAGCCAGGTAAGAGGTATCTATACTTGAGTCTCTATACATGCTCGCAGTGATTTTTATTCAAACAGGCGTGTCAGAGGAGCTGAGGCTGAGGAGGTTCAGAGCCGAAGCACAGAACAGAGAACCCAAAATGACCTAGCGGCTCCTTTGGGGGTGGTGCCAGTGAAACTCCGCTGGCTCACTAACAGTACACAGGAAAAAGCTCCAGGCATCAATCACTGGCCCCCCACAGCACACAAGGACAGCTCGACTAGTACCTCTCCATCAAGGATAAATGTTGCTAAAAAGGATACAGTATGTTCCAACTTAAATGAAATGGCTCGCAAATACAAGCCACAACGGGAGTACTGATAGTGTAGTATTTTATTGTAAAGAAAGGACATCCACATGGATACAAAAGTATTGGCAGCACACTTGCAAAGATGGCGGCTGGCCTTCCATGAGGCCTCGGCGGCATGATGTCATTACGGAAAGGCTCCTTCCAGACGCGTTTCGTGCACATGCACGTTGTCAAAGGGACCCAGCTTTGCTGGGGTTTTTTTGCCTTCCTCTGGATCAACTGTGGGTGTAGGATTATAACTTTTTTTTTAATGGTTGAACTGGATGGACTTTTGTTTTTTTCAGCCCGACTAACTTTGTAACTATAGGTAAAACACTCTACTTAAGTTTTACCCATCTCTTTAGTCAGTGGATTTTTGATCATCCCTTTTTTAAAACTTACCACTACTCTGAGACAGTAAGGGATGTGTAACACTTAATTGATCAAAATGACAGTCATGATTTCACTTACAAAGTTTGAGTTTCCAAAAACCTCAAGAATACATACAGACAATTTCTGAAAAATACCTTCTATCCAGGCCCGAGCTGGGACAAAAAAAAAAATAGGCATGGGCATTTTAGACTGTGCAGCCCACTCTAAAATGCCAGTGGGGGGAATTAAAAAAGAACAAGCATCAGGTGAATGGGAGGGGGGGGGAATGCACACAGACCTCCACATAAGTTCCCCCCCCCTGCGCATTTCCGCGCACACAAACACACTCATATCCACATAAATATCATTGTTCTCTATGGGGAAGCAGATGTTACATAGTTACATAGTTAGTCTGGCTGAAAAAAAGACAAAAGTCCATCCAGTTCAACCATATAAAAAAAAAAAAAGTTATAATACTACACCCACAGCTGATCCAGAGGAAGGCAAAAAAACCCAGCAAAGCACGATCCACTTTGCTCCTGCAGGGAAAAAATGCCTTCCTGATCCCCCGAGAGGCAATCGGATATTCCCTGGATCAGACATGTCCGAATAGATAAAAACAGATAGATGGAGATCCAATCCCCACCTGTCTGGCAGAGCGGATCGCATGACAGTCTAATGTAGATGTACAGGTGGGCCATTTACATCCGACTGCCCCATAGAGAACAGCAGGCTGTGTCCATGTCTGCTCTGCACAAGTGGAGCAGACATGGACCCGTCAACCGCCTGCTCAGCAGGGATCAGCGGACAGATCCGCCAATGTGAAAGGGCCCTAAAATAGGAAATATCAGAACATTTGTTCTATTGGGAAACCCCCAGAATCAATGATCATTTTGTCTGTTATCCCCCCATTCCATCACACCTTCCTACCACAAGGTCAGCCATGGAAACAGAAAGTTAAGTGTGAACGTAGCCTTAAAGGGAACCCATTTAATGGTGCAATCTTTATGAGGTATTGTACCTGTGATAGTGTGCAGCGCCTGCAGCATTAGCCATTCATGTGCTGGGTACACACACAGTCTGACAAGGAAATCTTATGAAGATTGCACCAGTAAATGGATTTCCTTTAACTCCCAAACCTTCTGTTCCATAGCTGGCCTTGTAGTATAGAGGTGTAATAGGATTGGAGGGAGGGGAGATCACAGACAAAATGATCATGAATAATCTGATCTGAGGTTTTCTTATATCCGGCCTCACAGAATCTTCACCCCTCATGGGGACTGGGAATTTTTACTATTGTTGACTCCACAATACACTGTGAGATCATGATGGAATGGGATGGAATGGGAAGGGATGAAATGAAATGGGAAGGAATGTGTTTGAATGGGATGGGAAGGAATGGGATGGGATGAGATGGGATGGGGATGGAAAGGAATGGGTTGGAATGGGATGGGAAGAAATGGGTTGGAATGGGATGGGATGGGAAGGAATGGGTTGGAATGGGATGGGATGGAATTGGATGTGATGGGATGGGAAGGAATGAGAAGATCAGGTGTTTGCAGTGGGGGAAACAGTAAATGGATTTACTTTAACTCCAAACCTTCTGTTCCATAGCTGGCCTTGTAGTATAGAGGTGTAATAGGATTGGGGGTGGTGGGGATCACAGACAAAATGATCATGAATAATCTGATCTAAGGTTTTCTTATATCCGGCCTCACAGAATCCTCACCCCTCATGGGGACTGGGAATTTTTACTATTGTTGACTCCACAATACACTGTGAGATCATGATGGAATGGGATGGGAAGGGATGAAATGGAATGGGTTTGAATGGGATGGGAGGGAATGGGTTAGAATGGGAAGGAATGGGTTGGAATGGGAAGGAATGAGATCAGGTGTTTGCAGTGGGGGCAACAAACTGGCATTGTGTGTAAGCTGCTGCCTGCTAATGGTAGTCTGTGTCAGATGAACTCTCAGTTTTTACAAAGCCCGGGAAGTTACCGCTGTCAAAAGGCACATGGGCACAGATTAAAAGGCACCCGCAAGGAGGACTAAGAGCCACCTTCCCTTGTGTAGCTTACTATTGCTGGACTATTCGATGTCACTAGAGGTGCCACCCCCGTCCCTTTACAACTGAACACATATTAATTATACAGGTTGTTTGGCTGATTAACCTCTTCATGCCGGCGCCTCCCGGCCTTAAATCCTTGGTTCCCATCTGTGCAGGTGGTACCACTGTGGGACCCACACAAAAGTACCTGCAGCCACACCACCCGCACAGAGGAATGCAGGACCCGCGGGCGGGTGCCATTCATTCTAATGGTTTCTGTGCGGGCTGTGTTTCCCGAAGAAATGCAGGGACTTCTTCCCTGCATGTGTCTCGGGGCATGGGAGTCCATTTAAATGCATGGGCTCTCATGCCCATGCAAAATGCGGCCTGCACGGCTGCACATATGTGAACCTGGCCTTAAGGGATTTCAGACGCTGGGAGGTGGGGTGGAGTTTTTAGGGACATTTGACTGCCATGATTTGCTGTGACGGCAGTCACATGATCGGAAAAGGTCCTGATCGCAAGGGGAGATCGGGAACTTTCCGTGAGACACCGACTCATGTGCTGGGAGTGCGCAGGGCGTGCGCTCTCAGCACAAATATGCGGCCGCTCGGTGTCAAGGCCCAGCCTCCGAGCAGCTGCCTATTTGCGTACGGTCGGCGTCAAGGGGTTAAGGTGGTAATTACTTAGTGCCTTCTCTGCATTAAATTAGCATCGGAACCTGTGTCATTAATATGTGTTCAGGTTTAAAGGGATGAGGTTGTAACCCTAGATGCCGCCCCCAACTTGGATAAAGTCGAACATCGGTCCTGTCTCCCCCTACAGGGCAGGGTCCGTGGGGATCTCTGCAGCTCGGTAACTCCGGAGACCAAATCCGGATTGTGCACGGTTAATTGTGTGAAGGCGGCAGGCATCTAACTCCCTACTCCAGCATAGTGCAGATCGCTGGTTGTGGGAACGGCAACCACCACTTCACCACTCCTGGACCCCCCTACTGCCAGCCAAGGTAGTGATTGCAGCATCCTCCTCCATCGTCGCTCTAAGTATCTGACATCGTCGTATTCCCCATCAATTCCCATCCTCAGGCATCAGTCACCACAGAGGAAAGACAAGCCTGTGAGGCCCCTCTCTTTGCTATACGGACCCTGGGCTGGACAAATGCCCACTATACCGGATGGCCTGTTTCTAACCATGGCCTTGGGTGTTGCTTTTGACATTGGCCATGCTTTAGGCCAAAATAAAGAATGTATCAAATCCTTTCCTTTTTCGTTTTATATGTTTTCCTGATGCCACAACATAATATATAGACACTACCATGTGGTCATACAGAGATGCCTGTAAATTTTAGTTTTCTCTTGAGTTTGCCACTGTACCCAGAAATGGAACAGATACACCCTTTCAAAGTCTACACATACCGCTTGGAATAAAAAGGTAACAAACAAAAAAGTATAGAAGCAAAAAAGGAAAATCATCAACCAAATCAAAAACTATAAAACAGCTGGCTGCAGGCGACATCTATCCTAATAGAGTGTGTGGACATGGCTCAATGAGGGTATGAACAACTCTCATTTATTACTCTCACACCCTGGACCACACATCAAGTTATTCTCAGACCTTCATAGAAAATGTTCTCAATAACCTGTCTATCTAAGATCCATTAAGTATT